ATCGAATGCAGATTTTGTAAAACTTTAACAAATTTTTGAGTAAAAAAATCAACGATTTAAAAGCGAGCAATGGCAACACTCTACAATGGGGGGGGGGACCTTTTTATCTTCAGCTGGCGCGGAACTGTGTATCGGAATTTCTAAAGATATGTTCATTTTAAAATTATTTTGCGACATTGCTACTGAACTGAATTTTATGGTTTAAGGAACATGATATTTAATAAATAAAGGTAACCCACAAAAAGTTAATCTGAAACCTTTCAGATTTTTTATGTTTATTTAATTTCTTCAGATATAATACAGGGCGATAATATTTGGTGGCAACGATTTGAAAAGTGATACAGCCTTTTAAAGGTTTCAACGCAAAATCGCAAAACGAAAACAATAGTCCTTCAGGGCAAATTGCCTTTTTGGACTAAAAAAAAAAAATCATTTTTACGTGCAGAGCGCAAAACTGTGTATCAGAAATTCTAAAGATATGCTCATTTTAAAATTATTTTGCGATATTGCTGTTGAACTGAATTTTATGGTTTAAGTGTAAAAAACATTATTTGATAAAGAAATGTAACACACAAAACGTTAAAAAAAAACCCCTTTGGGCGTAATGTAAAATCTAAAAGCTTTCATTATTTAAAAAAAATTTTTTTTTTTACTTGTTAATTCTGTTGCGGTTTGAATGTTCTTATGTGGTTTCTTTTTTAATCCAGTGTTTCCCCCCCCAGTGGGTTTTAGCCTTTTTTTCTGCATATATTACGGAAACGGCGTATATAAACGTTTGTAAATTTATTTAAAGATGAGGGGGGATCCCAAAAGGGTTTCCCCCCTGAAATAAATTCATATATAAAACCCAAACCCCTCAAAAAGACTTTACATTTTTCTTTGAAAGGGTAAGTGAAAAAAATTTTTCTTGTATGGTTCGTTTTAAAGTTGCTTATTTTAATATTTTGTATTTCTTTTTGGCTCAATCCTAGAAGATTGGAAAAGCTAAAGTTGTGCAATTCTCTGATTTTTTTTTAATGAAAATAGATCGATATGTACATGGGCAAAGCCAATGTAGTGCGCAATGCCGACGTTGTGCGCGATGCCGAGTTTGTGCAATTCTGGGAGGTTTTTTTTAAGTGAAAATAGATCGATGTGCACATGGGCAAAGCCAATCTGGTGCGCAATGCCGAGGTTGTGCAATTCTGGGATGTTTTTTTAAGTGAAAATAGATCGATGTGCACATGGGCAAAGCCGATGTGGTGCGCAATGTCGAGGTTGTGCGCGATGCCGCGTTTGTGCAATTCTGGGATGTTTTTTTAAGTGAAAATAGATCGATGTGCACATGGGCAAAGCCGATGTGGTGCGCAATGCCGAGGTTGTGCGCGATGCCACGTTTGTGCAATTCTGGGATGTTTTTTTAAGTGAAAATAGATCGGTGTGCACATGGGCAAAGCCAATGCCGTGCGCCATGCCGAGTTTGTGCAATTCTGAGATTTTTTTAAGTGAAAATAGATCGATGTGCACATGGGCAAAGCCAATGTGGTACGCGATGCCGAGTTTGTGCAATTCTGGGATTTTTTTTTAAGTGAAAATAAATAGATGTGCACATGGACAAAGCCAATGTGGTGCGCAATACGGAGGTTGTGCGTGATGCCGAGTTTGTACAATTCTGGGATTTTTTTTAAGTGAAAATAGATCGATGTGTACATGCGAAAAGCCAATGTAGCCAATGTTTCAAATTGTGGCCAACAAATATTATCTGACTGTATTATATTTAAAGGAATTAAACGATTAAAAATCTTCATAAATGTATGTATGTTTTCAGCATTTTGATAAAACAACGGTACTTAGAAACATCAAATTTTGAATAACATCATCCTCCTGCGAATGGTCATGAATAACATCATCCTGCTGTGAATGGGCATCTGGAAGACCAAATTTGAAATTTGGAGTTAGTTTTATTATCGTTTTCATAGTTTATAAAACTTAAGCGAATTTTTGATTAACATACTGTGGAATTTCAAAGCAAGCAATGACAATGCTCTACAGATAAAATAATTTTTATCTCCAGCGCGCGAGACTGTGTATCGGAAAATCTAAAGATAGGCTTATTTTAAAATTATTTTCTGATATTGCTATTGAACTGAATTTTACGGTTTAAGTGCGAAGAACATTATATTTAATTAATAAAGGTAACACGCAAAGTGTTAAAAAATGCACCTTTGGGGCGTAATGTAAAATCTTAAATTTCAGATTTTATTTTGTTTTATAATTTCATTATATTTTTGTTGTCTTTTTTTTAATTTCCTATCGTTGACAATATTACCTATCGTAGCTTTAGATATCGAAAAGCCATGGCTTTCACAGCGCTGTTTATAACTAGATACGAATAAATTTCTTCGGAGAGAGCACAATGTCCGAAAACAAATGTCAATTAGCAGACGATAATTATTCTTTCAAAACTATACTTGCAAGTTAAAAAGAATTTCCAAGCAGACGATTTCTTTTGGAATTTTTACTTCGTAATTTGAGCAGTTAATTCATTTGCCGTTTGAATGTTCTTATGTGGTAGTTATCAATCGAGTGGTTTTATCTGTGTGTTTTTGCCATATTTCTGCATATATTTCGTTAAATAAACAATCGCTATGGATTTATCTGTGATGCTGAGAGAGGTGAGTGAATGTACATGTAAATTTATTACTTTATTGAAAATGCAAGGGAAACGTGCTGTCATTGTCAAAAATACTTTTTATTTTCCTGAAAAGGGTAAGTGAAAATATTTTTTTCTTTTAAAATTGCTTATTTTTAATATTTTCTTATTTTCTTTCATTGTGAGAAATTAGATTTTTTAAATTTATTAATGAGTAGAATTCTAATACGAAAGTATAGAACGTGGTTTAGGAATTTAAGAACATGGAAATGAATACTGTGTATGATGTTGATATTCATAATATTTTCCTTTTTTATTATATAAAGCTTAAAAATTTTTTAGAAAATAATGAAGATTGTTTACTTACTAGTATGTAAGAGATAGTGTCGTTACGTAGCAATAAGGTAATTTGTAAAATGAAAAGTTAAAATGTTCGCAATATGAAATTAAAAATTTTAAAAAAATCTGTTTTTATTTGTATAAATACTAAAAAAAATATTCACCCTGTATGAGAGACTGCGACGTTGTTTACAGTTTTAATAACTGTTACAATTCACTTACCGTATTTAATAGTTTGAAATAGAAAAAATTTAGTATGCTTATTTCTACATCTGTAGAGAATACATTGTGACGTCACAATCTTAGTCCCACCCATTTATATACGTCACATAGCTCCGCCTTTGCAACTTTGGTTATAGAACGTTTACTGGCGATTTTCAAAAATCGCCAAGCAGTGGGCTAAAGCACATTTTCACCAAAATGTCTAAGTTCTAAAGCTTCCCAGTACTAATAAGCAATAATCAATACCAAAAATATAATTACAGAAAAATCACCATCAAATCCAAAAAACAAAATTTCAAACTTTAATAGCAAAAAAGAGTTACATAATATTTTTCCTCAACAAAACAATGGTCCAGTGTAGAATTGGGTGCTCCTTCGATTAACAACTTTTTTTTAAATTTTGCCGATGCAAACCTCACTTCTAGTTACCATGATAGTTTTAACTTTGTTTTATCTTCCTGATTTTATTTCAATGAAAATAGACTGACGTGTACATGGACAAATTTAAGGCAGTGAATGCCTAGTTTGTGCAATTCTAGGATTTTTTTTTAGTGAAAACAGATTGATGTGTATGGACACAGAGTTTGTGCAATTCTTTGACTTCTTTCGGCCATCTTGAAATTTTGCCTTCCTGGCACCGACCTAGGCGTCAAAAAAAAAGGGGGCACCCGATTGTAAACTTTTATTCAAAACAAATGCTTACCTACACAAAATTATGCAAGTGGAAGACAAATTACAATTTAATAAGAACGCGAGGAAATTAAATGGTCTTAATACCGTTCGAATGCAACTTAGCAAACTTTCAGAGCAGAATGATATAATTTTATAAAAAGCTACAAATTTATATAATGGACTATTTAATCAAATCAATAAGCTATATTATACATCTTACGTATCAGTGCGCAAAAACCCTGTTACAGTAATAAGGTACCCGATATGAAAAAGTTATTGTTTATCAACTGAAACATTCAGAAATCAGAACATTAGCAATAAATTTTAATGTGAACAGCACAACTGCAGCATTAAGCACCATACTTCCACACTAAGCAGTTATATTTACCTGATTGTATTTCCCGTTTTCATCCTAATCCACTGTGGTATAGGCCTATTTTGCTTCATCTTCTTAGCAAGCTTCTGCTTTATTTTGAAAGTTTTGTGAGCAGCCTAAAAACAGCATACATTTACTTCATATCACATAACTACATCTAACACCCAATACACAATGTATCAACAAAACAACAAAATCACACTCCGAATAATATCCGATAACATCCACTGAATGTATTTATAATAACAATATATATTAATGTGGGAATTATATAATACTTACCATGGTTTCGAAATTTATGAGATTTTATGACTATTTCTAAAATATAATACCGGGAAAAAGGTACCAAAATTCTTTCACTTTTTCACACGCATCAATGCGAGTATGAAGCTAATCGTTGTTGCCAACCGTTAAGCAAGTACAATCCAAATTATTTTCTTACCAAAAAATATTATGTATGTGAATTTTTGCAAAGACGTAAAATAAAATACTAGTCAACTTTATAATACATACTTTCACGTTTTTAAAATGAAATAACCCTAATTAAAATTAATAAATCATTTCATTACTTCTGTTACTCTTTTAAAAATTATTATTTTCTCAATAGAACACACAAATAATTAAAATATGTGAATATAAGCCTAAATAATATTTTATTTAATTTATCAAAAGGGCTAAATGGGAAGTTGCTTAATGGAGAATTAATGATATCCTTTTGAATCGGTCGATGGTATTTTCCTCTACAACTAAACTTGGCGGTGTGTATGTTTATCTTGCTTTGCTTAAATTCAAAAGAATAAGTTGTTTGCGCCATTGCTGCAAGGAATGAAATTTAAATTTTAACAAACATGTATATACGTAAAAGCAAATTTAAAGTTAAAATAATTAAAAAGTGTGCTACTCTTCATGCTATGAGAGTTACTTGCGAAGGAATTTTAACGTATGTATAGGATTAAGGTCTAAACAGAAGTGCAATCAATCAATTTTTGTGAAATATTTGCTACGCGCAGATATGCCACGTTACAATAGTGATTCTGACAGTTCCCCAAGAAGTCGTTCTAAGAGGAGAAAGATGAAGAAAAGCACGCGGCGAAAGTAAGATTTAGCTAGAACCAAATTGTTCATTTAACTATCGTCTTCTGATAGCTTAAGGATGTTGCTGAATATGTGTTTAATTATTCAGATAGTTATGTCGGATCGTCAAACATTGTCATGATAATTGCTTTGAAAGACAGAAACATCCTCCCAGAAATTTTTCAAAATATTCGTATGCATTGTCATGATAATTGCTTTGAAAGACAAAAACATCCTCTCAGAAATTTTCAAAATATTCCTATGCAGATGAAACAGTAGAACTAACTAATATTCCATATAAATTTTATAGATTATATTTCATTGCAGCGTATTTGAAGTAGTACACCGTGTAATTAGGGACGTAACTGACGTTTTAATAATAATATAGTATCTAAAATTTTAAGCTGAGCAAAACGCCAAACAACAAATCCTTGCCATTCGCGAATCGCTGAATGTTTTAGTTAGAATATGTTGTCTGCATAATACGGAGAATTTGGTTGATTTTTACATCATGGTAACTTGGCGTTTTTTTGGCGAAAATTTGGCGACCAACTCTCCTACAGCAACCCTCTATTTTTTTTTCCCCGGTGCCAAAGACATGTTTCTTTTCTTTTTATCTACTGAACACTTCTTCCCAACAATCTAGTAGCCGAATTACACTTATGCTAGAAATTTTATCAAACAAAACTGCTTAATCATGACAAATACACTGCAAAATTGGGAAAAAGTGCACAATACCATACTCCTTACGCGTTTTTCAAATAAACACATACACAAAACCATGTACACGGCGACTTTTTTTACTTAAAAAACATCCCAGAATGCCAAAAAATGGCATTGCGCACACTCTTCGCTATAAACCCATGTACACTGCTTTTTTTTCATAAATTAGAAAAATTTCACGAAAATATAACAATTTCTCAATCTTTAACCCGGTAAAAAGAACATATATGAAATTACCTGATCGCGAAAAGTATTACCCTTACAAATATGAACATTTCCACATATAAAATAAATAAAAGATCCAAAACTTTTACCTCTAAATCATCTTTACATTATACACGTCACCAACGAATTCATACCCCAAGCATTACAAATACTTAGTATCAAATATTTAAATTATTTCCATGCACGTTTATTTCAACTTAAACGTTATACCAAATTCCTACAACATAAAATTCACAAAATAACTATCATTAATTAAAAATATCACTAAACCATGTACACGTCGACTTATTTTACTTAAAATAACATCCCAGAATTGCACAAAAATGGCATTGCGCACACTCTTCACTATAATCCATGTACACTGCTTTTTTTCTCATAAATTAGAAAAATTTCACAAAAATACATGACAATTTTCTCAACTTTAAACCCCGGTAAAAAGAACATATATGAAGTTACCTGATCGCGAAAAAGTATTTACCCTTACAAATATGAACATTTCCACATATAAAATAAATAAAATATCCAAAAACTTTACTCTAAATCATCTATTACATTATACACATCACCAACGATTATACCGCAAGCATTACAAATACTTAGGATCAAATATTTAAATTATTTCCATGCACGTTTATTTCAACTTAAACGTATACCAAATTCCTACAAACATAAAAATTCACAAAATAACTATCATTCATTAAAATATAATTAAATTCAAAAACACTACTTAAAATATAAATGAGCACATACATTAAATTAATAAAAATTACCTTACAATCCTAATTACTTTAAACTAAATCATTGCTAATAACAATATTCCCAATAATACCAAATGCCTTTTTTTCCACCTTACATTAGAACAATGCATAAAAATAATATCCTCAAATAATTAAAAAATACTAACTTACCGAATCTTCTTCAGAATTTGATTACGTGTCCGATAAACTTTCTTTAGTTATGGCCATGGGATCCAAAAATCAAAACACTGTTTCACACAACCAGAAAAAACCAAATACAAAATTCCAGATTTTTTCCCGATTTCCCCCCTTTCCGATTCAAGAACGAATTCGTTCCATTAATATCACATGACGTATCCCATGATCTCTCATTTCCTTCACACAAAATAATGCGTAATCGGAACTGAGTACTGCTCACATTATTACCAAAGTCCCAGGTAGTAACCTTTATCGCCTCCAAAATGTCGCCAAACTACCAGTTACCATATTGTAAAGATCAACCGAGAATTTTTATATATTATAAAACGTGGTGCAACACTGTTTATATAAATAGGGCTATCTTAGCAAACTTGTGTACCTAAATCAGTTTAAATTGACAAATAATTATAGACATATATAATTAACCCATAACAGTGGAGGTTAAATATTGGGACATAACTGGGGACGTGAAGTTGCAGAGACCATGTCTCGCTATGATTTTAAATAAAACGTTCTATTCAAAATATTAAAATTTTATTTTACCCATACGTTCTATAAACACTTATCTTCAAACAGAATTTTTTTTATTTTACAAAGAAATCAGTCAGCACAAGGAACATCTTTTCTGCAACATGAACTTTTTTATGAAAAACCACTTGCAAATGTAAATTATGCAAAACAAGCCAGAATAACTATTATTTTTATGAATAATAATTATTTTCCAATAATTTAACGTATGATAGATACATTCAAATAAAAATTATAAATATTGTACGAAACATAAAAAAATGACAGTACCTTAACTATCGGTAATACCATTGTGTTCTTGCAAAAAATATCAACTTACTCAGCATATTCTTGTGTACATTCGTGACATATCTTTTGTTAACATACCAAACAAACTGGTATTTTACAACTTGCGCATAAATACGAAGTTTTCAGTTCTTTCTTTTTCTCTAATATATCGTTTGTGAAAAGGAGGATTAGAGTTGATTTTAGGGTACCCCTTGTATTACCGCAAAGCTGTTGCTTAATTTATCGCCAAGTTGTTGTCTCACTTATGACAACCTGAGTAGTTGAATGCTATGGAAACTCTATTATGATGTAATTCATTGCGGTGAATTTGAATTATGGGAAAAAATTTGGAAAGTGTGTGTTGTTATTTTGTGGTTTACACGGTAAATTGGCTGAATGTGATAAGATTAATTTGAAGTTTCTGTAGGATTTGGAACAAAAGGGAAAAAAGCATTAATTGACTGGTGTGTAAATGAAGGTTTACTTAGTAGCCATTATTGAGCGTCCTGTTTGGAGGAAGGAAATGCATATGGTCGAACATCAGATATTTTTTACTCTTAATTTTGTGAATTTATGTGGCAACACCAATATACAGATTCTAGTCCAGATAATTTTAGGAAGTGTTTGGATGCTGGTAAGGAATTTTGGTTGATCTTTGGATTATGGTAACTTGGCGAAAATTTGGCGACCAACCCTGCTACAGCAAACCTCTATTTTTTTTTCGCCGCCATTTTGTCTTCACGAAGTAAAGACATGTTTCTTTTCTTTTTATTTACTCAACACTTTTTCCAACAATCTACTAGCCGAATTACACTTATGCTAGAAATTTTTTGTAACAAAACTGCTTAATCATGACAAATATTAACTGCTAAATTGGGGAAAAGTGCACAATCGCAAACTGCTTCCGCGTTTTTCAGAATAGCACATACACATGTCGACTTATTTTTACTTAAAAAAACATCCCAGAATTGCACAAAAATGATATTGCACACACTCTTAACTTTATCCATCTACACTGCTATTTTCTCATAAATTACAAAAATTTGCACGAAAATGCAAAAAAATTTTCTGAATCTTTAAACTCGGTAAAAAGCACATATAAGAAATTACCTGATCGCGAAAAAGTATATACCCTTTCCAAGGATGAACATTTCCACGTATAAAATAAATAAAATATGCAAAAACTTTTACTTCTGAATTATCTATTATATTATAAACATCACCATCGAATTTCTACTGCAAACATTAAAAATGGTTACAAATACTTAGTGTCAAATATTTAAATTATTTTCATGCACGTTTACGTCAACTGAAATGTATATCAAATTGCTACAAATATAAAATTCACAAAATAACAATCATTTAATTAAAATATAACTAAACCATGTACACGTTGACTTATTTTTACTTAAAAAAACATCCCAGAATTGCACAAAAATGGCATTGCGCACACTCCTCACTATATCCATGTACACTGCTTTTTTCTCATAAATTAGAAAAATTTCGTGAAATGCAAAAAGACTCAACGTATACTACTCAAACGTATTCCAAAATACTACAAACATATAACTCACAAAATCACGATCATTAAATTAAAATATAATTAAATTAAAAAACACTAACTTAAAATACAAATAGCACATGCATTAAATTAATAAAAATTAGGTTACAATCCTAATTACTGGAAAACTAAATCATGCTAATAACATTTTCATAATACCTATTAATTTTACTCCTTACAAACAGCAAACAAACTTAAAGAACAATGCTAAAAATAATATCCTCAATGATTAAAAATACAACTTACCTAATCTTCTTCAAATCTTCATTACGTGGCACGCGCACTTCTACAGAAAGAGTTCATTTTCCTGCAGTACTACTGCTAATTCTAAATCCGAAATCCCGTAAACTGGCAGTCTATGCACCCACTAATAAGAAATTAATAAAATTTCACCCAAACTCAAACGACTTTCAGCAAACCACGTACCCTTCCTTACATTACGTTTCACAAAATGTCCATTTTCACCAGATTTCTTGTACCAGCATTCAAACTTATGTGTAATATCCTTCCTTTCACACAATCTCAATTATATTATTATCAGATAAATGCATTAAAAATTTAGAATTCATTTACATAGCGCCAGCAATCCGAAATTAATCAACACTATTTCAACAAACACAATGAAGCTTAAAAATAATTTAGTACTACAGATATTTTTCCAAATTTACCCTTTTGATTAAGAACTGTAATTCGTCATTCATGTCACCTGACTTATCTCATGATCTCTATTCCCTCACACAAAAAAGCGTAATCGGAACTGAGTACTTCTTACATTATTACCA